GATGGTATAGGTTGCAGTGGGGCTGGCTGGCAGCTGGTGTGAGCTTTCGTGAGCTGCTGTGAGTGACCATCCAATGGCCGGCGAGCAACCGTCTCACCGGGAAGAGCGCCATGATAACACCAATATGGGCCAGTGAGGCGACATCCTCCACAACTAGACTGAAGGACAAAAGGACAGCAACTTGTCTGTTCCTGTTCCCCAATTCCCCAATAAAGTCTTTAAAAAAATATAAAATAAAATAAATAAATAAAAATAAATTTAAAAAGGTGAAAAAACTCAACCAAGATGAGAGGAATGGAGAGGAAAGCATTATACTCTTACTGTTCTGTCAGCTACTCCTGATTCAGTTTCCACGTATCTCCTATGCATCAAACTTGTGTTTATTTAAGTAGCAGCTGACTGTGGAGTCTTTGTAGGGAGCAAAATAGTACTTTCTAGCAAGAAACTTTAGTAGGAAGTGTGTCTGTTCCTTGGCATGCTGGGGATTTCTATTAATTACAGCAAATCTTAACAATAGCTGGTGCTGTGTGCGAGGCTCTCAAAACATTATCTAATTTAATATGCAAAATGAGCCTGAGATTGTTTTATCTCCATTTTACAGATGGAACCACTGAGACAAAGAGAGATGAGCAACTTACTCATGTCCACATCCTTAGAGCCAAATGTAACTGATTCTGAAGCCCAAGCTCTTCACCCTAAGTCTATTCCCCTTCCTCGTAGCTGTAAGAAGGCCCAGCATAGGGCCCAGACTGGGAAAACTATCTGAAAAGATGGACTGGGTTCTAGAATCATCAAGGAGTAGAAAGTGGAAACTGAAGGTCAGACCACACCTACTGCGCTGGGGTTGTGTGGCTTTGCGGTGTATAAGGAGGCTGCAGCTTGGAAGGACAAATGTCATCCTGTAAAAGCGCATCCACACTGTGAGGCTCAGGCTATACTATTTATAACACAGGTGAGAACAGGGTATGCTCAGATAGTACGAAATGTGGTAATTTGGGTAGCTTCTATTGTGAACATTTCCCATCCATCCTCACCGCAGCCCAGAGAAACACACTAAAGAACAGCAAAAATTTAAGTGTTTCTCATCTAAAATTTAACCATTTGTTTCCCCTCAGAGTTTCCAGCAATAAAGTGGCACCACTAGCTATCAGTTTTCTCAGTGATCAAGCTCAAAAGGCTACTTGCTGTTGCCAATTGACTAAGCCTTCCCTGGACGCTCTCCCCCTCACCTCCTCCCATCTCATCGAAGAAATCAGGATTGATGACCTCGCAGCTCAGGAGATGGTCCTGATTCAGTGTCCCCATATTCACTATGCATCAAACTTGTGTTTATTTAAGCAAAAGCTGACTGAGGAGCCTGTGTAGGGAGCAAAACCTCCACCACCACTGTGAGAGCATGGCCCTCCTCCATTAACCAGGTGGAAGGAGAAAAAGGCAAGCCCTGCACAGTGTGTGCCACTTACCAAGAAGGATGTGAAGGTACTTGAAATTCTCTCAAAGAATACATATAACTCTGCCAGGATTAGGCCATGTTAAACTCTTAACACAGACAATAGAAAGCAGTGGAAAACCGGACCATTCTGGCAACTGGTAAAGAACAACAAGGTATTCTCATCATACATGACACATTTTAAAAATATGAACCCCATTCATTAGTAGCCTACAGGTCATGCTAGTGACTACACAGACCGTTTCAAAAACCACGGCCACCTCCTTTAATTGGCAACATTTCCAGTTGCCTCCCCACTTCTACCCGAAGGCCTCGGTGAAATCCTGCTTCCTGACAACTCATCCTGTAAGGAAAGGCGATGACATCACTGGTGCCTACTCCGAGGGAACTGAGACATTCTTAAATTAATCAGACAGGAAGATGAGGGAGGCTGATGTGTTTACCTATAAAATTTCACGTAATCAGCTGTAGCAGGAAGAGACATGCCAGGAGAGAGTGTTACAAAGGTGGGGAACGGGATAAGTGAGTGGGTAAGCCCTGCTGAATGTGGTAAAGCCTCTTTGAAGTAATGGATTTCACTTAATCACAGACAGACAAAAGAGCTGCATGAACAGTCGTGTGTGCTGAGCCTCAAAACAAAACAAAGTCCCAAGATATAAACTTCTCTTTTCCTACAGTGAAACCGGGAATTCTTCCAAGACTACTTAAAATAACACTTACTGTTCAATTATCTTGTGGGAAAATAGTGATTATGTAGAGTTCCAAAACATAGCCAATTTGCCCACCTCCACTGGAATTCAAAATGCTTTGTTAAGTTAGTAAACAGTATTTACGGCGGTAAAGGTAGTTTTAAACCCACAATCCAGGGGCTGTTATAAATATCTTCCTTTGGTCTATGAGTCTCTAAACTCTCCCAGTGTTCTTTCAATTCTAGCAATATTTCTAGGGAATATTAACTGAGGTACTTAAAAATAGTAGGGAAAACGTGCTTTCTTTGATTCAACAAATGTTTATTGAGATCCTATGGGGCTGACATTTGCACAACTCCAGAGGGTAGCATTCCCATATGAATGGTGTGCCCTGGCCTCGTGCAGCATACAACCTATGAAACTGTACATGGTGGCCAGACCTACTATGTACCAGACTTGATTCAAGGCACTGGGTATTGGGGATACATTAGTGAATAAGTAAAAAATTTCTGGCCTTGTGGAGCTCATATTCTATTAGGAAAACATAGGCAATAAATGTAATAAGTTAGTAAAACATATGGTGATTTTGTGACCCATGTTTTGTGGAAAAACAGATCGAGTTAGGACTGTGGGATGGAGAGTGCTGTAATTTTTATTAGAATGGTTAGGGAAGGCCTCACTGAGCAGGTGACATTTAAGCGAAGACTTGAAGGAGGTAAAGGAGTAAACCCTAAGACTCTGGGAGAAGAGTGGTCCAGGCTGTGGGAACAGCAAATACAAAAGCCCTGTGTCCGACCATCGTGCAGCAAAGGGGAGTGTGAGGAGATGGGTCAGATTAGTAATGGGCTTGTAGGACATTGTAGGACACAGAGACTTGTAGGACATTGTAAGGACTCGGCTGTCCTCTGAGAGAAATGAGAAGACCATTAGAGGGTTTGGGACACAGTCGTGATGTGGTCTGACATATTCGAGAAGGATTTTTGAAGGCTGCTCTGTTGAGAATGACTTTATTGGGGCAAAAGTGATGCTAGGAGGCAACTGCAATAATTGAGGCAAGGGGTGATGGAGTACTTCTATGGGGATGGTAGAACGGGAGGTGGTGAGATGTGTCATTATTTTAGGTATATTCTGAAGGTAGGACTAGTAGTATTTCTTGCGAGGTTAGCTTTCTAATAAAAAGAAAAGAGTCAAGGATGACCTCAGAGTTTTTGGCTGAGAAACAAAAAGGAACTAAATGGCCATCATCCAATAAGGGGAATACTACCTGTAGAGCAAGGGTTTTAGGTAAGAGAAGCTCAGGGGTTCAGCACGAGGTATTTAAGTTTGAGAGAACTATCAGACATCCAAGGGGATATTGTACTTGGGATTAGAAACCAATTGTCCATAACACCCACATTTAATGTGAGAAATTTCAGAGCCTGTAGTGTATAAATATAAATGTTGTTCCTTATATTGCTTAGTTCCAGGCCACTGACAACACAAGGGTCTGGTGAGTTCCACAGGGCACCCTGTTTCCTGCTTGTAACCTGAAAGGAATTCATGATGGAAAGAGTTCATCCGTGAAGAGTTTGTGTCTCTGGGAAAGAGGAAGACAGGTAATCAGAGGTCATTTTTAGCTTTTTTCGTTGGGAGGTGTTGTTACTATAAATATAATAGTTATACTCTTTGGCATTGAAAGGCAATTTCTAGTATCTAGGCCTCATTATATTGCCTCAGACGTCTTTGGCTACCAGCTGCCTTTCTCAAATAGTGGGAGGGCGAACCCCTCAAGGTCTTTCAGTCTCCCTGGATGCATTGTCCACCAACTTCACTGTGGCTAAAACATCTCAAGCTTACTGCTCTGTCTCATAAAATGCCCCCTGGGAATTAGCTTTTACACTGGAAGCAAATGAATCAATAAAAACTGATTCTGGTGTGTTGACTCATCCAACATGCAACTTGCCTGAAGTTAAAATCAGAAGCTGAAATGATTCCATTTAAAGACCTGTGATGATATAAATTCCACACCCTTGGGCCTCAGTGGGGAGAGAAGGAATGATTTTAAGATCACCACATTTTTATAAATCAAAGCCCATAGGATAGTACCTTTCAACTAGGTACTTGGGCAGAGGGTTGTTTTATCAATGATTAAAAAATGGAAAATCAACATTTGTACACTGCTTTTCAGTTCATAAACACTTTTTATAGGCATTAACTCCTGTGATCCTCATAAATTTCCTGTGCGGCCATGTGTTATAACTATTTCTGTTTTCACATAAAGGAACTGAGTCGAAGTGTCTAACTGGTAACAAAGCCTAGATCTTCAGTTCTTTCTATCGTATTAATTTGCTGAGAACTCTTCAGGACGAGAGGTACTCAGTGTTTCCCCACCAGATGGGCCACAAACAAATTAACCGTAGGTTTCACCTGAGCCATTTAGCATTCCTAGATCGCTCTTCAGATGGAGTTAGATGGAGGGAACGTTTCAGACCACCAGCCACCAGGAAGGTGTGTACCTGTAAGCACCATTCCCTTTTGTAAAGGAACTTTGTTCCAGAAGCAGATATTCAGGTGGTAACACCGAGGAAGTCTTAAAATGATAAGGCTAGCGAGTGAGGCACAGAAGATTTTCACAGATCATTGAAGGTCTTCGGACATTCAGGTCTCTCCCACATGCAAGTCACAAAAGATGGGTGTTTACGTGTGTTTGTAGGTATACACATAAGTTCGTGTCCAGAGTGAGGGAGAAAGAAGCAAGTCAGAGCAGGGGATATTTAAAGTGTCCTCTTTATTTTAGATTTTTGTTTGTTATAAATAACACAAACTATTAAACAATTTTAGCCATAAAGATTATTTTAACTGAGTGGGGAAAAAATAAACAACCATGGTGTGACAAATGTAGGTGAATCAACACTAGGGTGGTGCATGGGATTCTACAATAGAAGGTACTTGGTTCCCTATTTATCCTGCCTCTACAACTGGCCTAGAGAAAGTCGTTGTTGATAGGAGACACACCACTTTGCATACCTATATTAATAGTGTTGAGTAATGGTTCAGTTATATGGCAGTAGCATAATGATCATATATAAAAATATTGACAAACTTTTCATACTTAAAATAAAAGGGCAAGAATATAGTATAGTCAGATTTCTAATGCCTTTACAGAATAAAGAAACTGGACTAAATTTTTAAGTTAGCGAAACTAACTAAAATGTAATGGAAGCACAAAATGGAATACATATGTCTTGGATTTAAAATAAACACAAACCCTGTGAATTAATGAAGTGAGCATGTTAAATGTCACTGCCAGGACAACCTAATGGCAGGAGATTTTTATACTTAGGAAGAAACATAAAGGATGATATTGGCTAATATTTTAAGGCTATAATGGCAGGGCTATTTTGGAAAAGGGATCAGAATAGCATTTATGGCCAAGAAGAAGCAATGGACTGAAGCCAATCCAATATGCATGGACGCTAACCCATGATAGATGAGAAAGGGCTGAGGAGCAGGCGGTGGAGAGATGTAGGGAGGAGCTAGTTATTAATCCTGAGTTTCTTCCTATATATTTTTATACAGTGCTCATGAGAGTACCTCACATATGCACCGCAGTTTAGTTTTGGAAGTGCTTTACTTTTATTCTCTCACAAGGTGCTCAAAACACACTGATTTGGTAGCGATGGTGCTGTTTGTGCTCCAGAGAGGTTGTGTGACTTTCCCAAAGTCACCCAGTCGTGGTGGTGACGCTGAGGGTAAAACCCTTGTGCTCTCACTCTTGACTTATATGAGTATGACAAAACTCTCTCCATGAGAGAATAAAAAAGACAGATGCTAACTGTCATCCTTGTCCTGTAACAGAACTTTCAATGGAAAATGCGGAATGAAGTTTATCTTACTTTATAAAGCTTGTATGAAATTATATTTAAACATTATTTATAGATATCAATTACAGCCTGCCACTCTCTTCCTTGGATACTTATAAAAATATGTTCATTTAGAACATTTTATCTCTGTTTTGCATTTATCTACCCTACATTTGTTACTAATTAGCTCTGTAATCTTAGGCAAACTATTTAACCTAAGTCACAGTCCCTTCATTTGTAATAGGAAAAATAATTTTACAAAGCTCTTAGAATTGTTATGAATATTATGTGTTTGGTGAAGAAAGAATACTGAAAAAGTACCAG